TGCTCAGCACCTGAAGCAGCACATCACTTTCATGCTGGCCCAGGTGTCCCCCCAGCCCTGTCACTCATGACCTGCCTGTCCCCAGCTCAGCCATGCTGCAACCCTTCTCCTTGGACCAAGCAGTGATATGAGATCAGACTGCTGGTTGGGGATGAAAGGACCTTGCAGACATGACTGCTCCCTTCCCCCCATCCACTCCCCTTTCTTAAGAGGTGAGGAGATGCAGGGGCTGAGCCAACTCTCTTCTGGAGTTACCAGCCAGAAAGGCAAGTGTCATGCCAGAAGAATGGGGCTGTGGTAGGGAACGGAGCCATTTTTCCACTCCTTACCCTGAAAGAAGGCTGCTGAGAGCCGGGCCACCACAGGTGGGGTTAGGGGGGGCTGTTTTTTATGAGCTGCTTCACAACCAGCAATTGCTTTCTGAGAGATTCCTGCATTTAGCTCACACCCTGCCAGCAGTTTCCTGAACATCTGCAGAGGTTTAGAGTAGGGCTGGCAACCATGGAAGCGCATCATCTCCCCTGCTGACTGCACACACAGCAACGGGTGCTGCTCTGGGTGGCAAGGGGTTTGGACACGGTGGCCTGTACCTTTGAGCACAGGGTGCAGAAATGGATCCTCACAGCTGGACAGGTAGCAAAGCCAATAGTCCCCCAGCCCCCCATCGCTGGGCCTTTAAACCAAAGCTGAAGAAAGCTGCAGAGACAAACTTCACGGTCAAAAAGAAGGGGAAGGGCCTAGGTGTGCTGCTTTTGGCTGGGGTTCAGTGGCATCAGGTTTGCAAGACTGACTTATGGGACTGTGATGAGCAAACCAGGGCCTGGTGGAGCTGTGAAAGAGCTGAGCATGGGGCAAGCACTGCTGCTTTTCTTCAGCCATTTCTGGCCAGAGAAATGTTCTCCATGCCAGAGACCCTGCTGGGGTCCCCAGGGCAGAGCAGTCCAAGGTGCAGTGAAGTCCTGTGTGAATTTTCACTCCTTCCTCCATTTCCAGCCATTCCCATTCCCTTCCTGTTGCCTCCTCGGGCTGGGGACCAGGAGACAGCTGCTGGCTGCATGGGAGAGCAGAGATGTGTTGGTGCACATCACTCCCCGCAGTGGCTGTGCTTGGTCCCTTCAGGCCATTTCTGAGGGATGGGGAGGGGAACGGCTCCTTCCCCAGCTCAAATAAGCAGCAGAAGGCTGTGTTTGCAGAAAGGGGCCTCATACCGAGGGAAGGAGGGAGCGTGACCAACCCAGGTGTGTGCTTAACTTGAGCTTTTTACCTCTAAAACTGTCACAAGATAATTCATGGCATGTCAGCTCCACATTTTCCATCTCCAGTCGAAGCCTGATCCTGGGGGAACTGTTACTGCACAGTGCAGCAGTGCCCGTGCGGGGACCGAGCTGTGCGCGGGGAGACTTTTCCCTGTTCAGACTTGTGGAGGTGGGCATGTGGCAGGTAATCATTAACGCAGCCAACTGCTGTCATCTCAGCTCTGTTTAGCTGGGGCTGGGCTTGCGCAGCCTTCCCCAGCCTGCACGTGTGCCCCCCCCACCCCCGGTGTACACCCTGAGGTGCGTTTCCATCCCACGGGAGGGCCAGACAGACCTCCAGACCTCTGACACGCAGCTGCAAAGGAGAAATGGGGGATGCTGAGGCCCTTTGCAGGAAAGGGTAGCAAAGGTGAGGTCCCCCCCCCCCCCCCATTACAGCGATTGCATTTGGGACTGCTTTTCTCCTTCACCATAAATTTGACACCAGGGCGGCTGGAAAACTCTCATTGCCATGGTTACTGACAATCCTCACCGCCAAGACGTGGGCCAAGCGCCAACGTGCTGGGGTCTGGGCACTGAAGCGGAGTGGGCCCCCTCCTCCCAGTC